CACATATGTATGTGCACATGTATACGTGTCCATAGTTTTTCATTTCGTAAATATTCAACTCTTGCAAGAGATAACGTAACCAACTTGAATCTCCTCTACTTCTTATTCGTTCCTTTACTAATTTTTATCTTTCCTATATATCATTTCTCGTAACTAACATAGTAATCCTTAAATATAAATATGTATACATACATGTATATATACGTATATATATGTACGTATATATATGTACGTATGTACGTATATATGTATACATACACATGTGTGTGTATTTATATATAGATATATTTTTTTATAAATGCTTAACAATTTAGTACGTGTGATAATTTATCGAAGAATTAATAATTTACAAGTTCGACCGTCTAGTATACTTGCCATTTCTTTCTCTCTTTTTTTTCTTTTGTTTTTGCATTTAAGAGTGAGATCACAAGAGAAGAATCCTATTTTCTCTTTACACGGATACTTATGCAGCGTTGACGTTTACTCGTTTTCATGCGACAATCCGATAATCGAGGGACACACGAATCGTGTGCGAATTCACCGTCATAAACGTAATTTCGATGAAAAGAAGAACGATGGAAAAAGAAACAAACGGGAAGAAATAGAGGGGATAGGAAAAGAGAACAGAAGAGAGGGAACGGAAAGGAAAGAAAAGGAAAGAAAAGGAAAGAAAAGGAAAGAAAAGAAAAGAAAAGAAAAGAAAAGAAAAGAAAAGAAAAGAAAGGAAAAGAAAAGAAAAGAAAAGGAAAGGAAAGGAAAGAAAAAAAAAGCGAACGTCGGTAAGAACGCGTTCGAAGGAACCGTTCAGAGGCTCAGAGCTTGCATCTGATGGCACGCGTCGCTCAACTGATTCTGATCGACAACGGTGGCGGTAGGATGAGTCGAATGAGTCGGATGACCTCTGGGTGTACCCGGTGGTGTGATGGGCATTCTTCCAACGCCCGGAGGAGCGTCTCCGGCACCGCCCAAACTATCCTCGGACACTTTGTTGCCCGTCTGCATGATCCCGTTCACTTTGTACTTGTTCTGCCTGAGGATCGCGCTGCTTTGAGTCGAAGCGGAACTCGAATACTTCTCGGCGGACTTGCGGCCAGCCGACAGAGTAGGAGCGACGGTATACCGACGCTGCTGCTGTTGCTGCTGCTGTTGTTGCTGCTGCTGCTGCTGCTGCTGCTGCTGTTGCTGCTGTTGTTGTTGGCTAGATTGCTGTTGCTGGTGATGCTGCTGCTGGTGGTGCTGATGGTGGTGATGTTGGGACGGGGCTAAGGATGGCTGATAACGGTTCTGCGTCGGAGCATAAAACTGGACCTGGGAGGTGGGTGGTGACAAAGTTGGAAGCGGTCGTGTCATGGGCGAGTACGGGGCTGGCGGTGGGCTGACCGGTTTCTCCGAATTACTATTGTTTTCCGCGACATTTTGCACGGCGTGCGCAGCACCCTGGGAACCGTTGCTGCTGGTTTCATCCTCGACCGCGTTGTAATTTTCGGCGGACCGATTGCCGGAAGAACCGTTCCCCTCCGCCGTCTGTCCGTTGTTGTTATTGTTGTTGTTGTTGTTGCTATTGTTGTTGTTGTTGTTGTTGTTGTTGTTGGCGGCGGCGGCGGCGGTGACGGCGGTATTGGCGTTGGCGTTAGTCCGGTAGGCGTTAGTCGTGTTCTTACGGGTCGAATAGTTGCTCGGCTTGATCGCGTTGTCGAAATACTGTTCGTTCGAGTGATTTCTACGAGCGTTCCCGTAGTCGTTCGCGAAACCTTGCCCGGAAGCGGACGCGGCGAACACCTTCGACTGGGAGGAGTTCAAGTAGCCGGTGTTGTAGGTCTGAGGAGGCGGCGGCGGAGGATTCGCCGCGAAGCCGAGGTTCCCAGACCTCTGCGGACTGTAGTTGTCGGACCTCGGAGCCATGTAGCAAGCCGGAGAGGGTTGTATCGTGGTCGAGCCACCGCCAGCCGGCGTTCTTCGATGATTGTATTGCACGGAGAACCGCGAAGTCATGCCGCTCGAGGAAGAGTACTTGTTGTAGCTTCCGTCCACGTTAGCGTGCTTGTACGACTGCGAGCTACCTAGGTGCGGAGCCTTCGCGAACGACGCCTGATGCGACGACAACGCGATCCCGTGGCTACTTTTCGAGTAACTGTTGCTATGCTGTCCGTTCGCGGGCCCCGACTTCGAGTACTCCCTCGAATTGTAACTTGGTTTGTTCGACGAATCGAATATTTGCTGAGACACCGAGGCAGCCGGAGTCGGCAGCAGGCTAGCACCGCCGGAAGCGTTGTGGTGGAACGGAGCTGTCGTATGCGTGTGAGGAATGTAAACGGTCGCCGGATGATACACGATCGCCCTACAGTGCATCCTATTGCCAGCGCAATCGTCGGTCTCGTTCAAGCACGACTGCGAATTGTACAAGTTCGCGCTGTGTATCGCGATCGGGTGATAATTCGTGTAACGACCAGACACGGGAAATTTCACGGGCATCAAGGACACCATAGGTGCAGATGAACCCGTACCAGCCTGTGTCTCGCTGTGCGGTTGCTCCGAGTGGCTCGACGTCGAACGAGAATCCTACGGTTCAGTTCACAGATATGATAGTTTCAGACGAGTCTCGATCTTTGCACGAATACTAGTGTGCACGCACGCGTCACGAGTCTCCTTTTATCCGTTTCGTTCCCGAGCAACGACGCGTTTCTCGAATTCCAACCAAATAAACACGTCTCAAAGTATGCAGAAGCGAAAACGAAGGCGAAAACGAAGGCGAAAACGAAGGCGAAAACGAAGGCGTAAACGAAGGCGAAAACGAAGGCGAAAACTGAAGCGTTAACGGCAACGATCGTCACAATTATACAATGGCAATGGCTATGGCAATTCTCTAGAATGACAACTGTACAATGACAATGAGAATGATTACGACGATGCGGATGGTAAAAGTAACGATAACGAAAATCAAAAATTTACTAGGTAAAGCGAACCGATTCGTTGGAGGAGTCGGCCTTGTTACTTACCTCTTGCGGCGCACCCTGACCGTCGGACGAAGACGTTTGCTGACACGCGCTCTCCGTAGGGTACAGCAACAGCTGCTGTTCGGTCAACCCCATAGCCGCGTGCGGGGGCGGCGGCGGGTGAGCTCCGGTTGCAAACGAATAGTAAAGATGGTCGACCTGCGACTGAGGTGGACCCGCAGGCACCGGTGGGTGATGATGATGGGGTGGCGGTGCAGCAGGAGCGTAAAAGTGCGTAGCTGTCGGCGGAGCCAGAGAAGGGAGTGGCGCTGGCGGAGGGCCCGTCGGTGGACTGGTTGCTCCCGCCGTCCCGTTATTCCCGCTACCGGAACTGTTGTTACCGGCGCTTGCGTTGTTCTGCGAGTTACTGCTAGGATACAAATACGGAGAAGTTCCAGCTGCGGCCGCCCCTGGGTAATACGTCTCGTACTGCACAGAAAGACGGGATTCGATCATCGTCCGCGTTCGCACACGCCTGTATAGGTAATTTCGGTAACGAAGCATATAAAC